GATAACCGGAGTGTGGTCAGAAGCTGGATCGTTTAGATTTGTGATGTTAGTGTGTATATGATTTGGTAAGTTAGAAAGGAAGAAGTCAAGGAAGTCAGGATGTCTGTTTGCATGAGTTGGCCAATAGGTAGGAGAGGCTGGAGAAATAATTTTGGAATGTTTGTTTGTGATAAAATTGAGCAAGGTACGGCCTCTAGTATTCGTCGATCGACATCCCCAGGCTTCGTGCTTAGCATTGAAATCGGCACCGATGATATATGTATTGTTAAGTGATTGTAGGTGTAGGGCTAGACTTTCTGCAGGGAATTGGCAACCGGGGTGGAAGTAGGCTGATATTATTGAAGTAGGTATAGAATTAATATTTACAGATGTAGCGGCTAGTTGCATGTTTAGATTTGATTTGGGAGGAAAGGGAGAGTGTGGGATTTTGGAAGAAATTAGAAGAGCAGCACCAGCATGGGCTGAATCGTCAGGGTGATTTGCTTGAAGACAGTCGTATCCGAATATTTTAAATTTTGAATTGGAGGTGAGGTGAGACTCCGTAATGAGGGCAATATCTACATTGTTCTCTTTTAGAGCGATTTGGAGTTCATTTGTGTTATTGGAGATTCCGTTAGCATTCCAAAGAAGAATGGTTAGAGTGGAAAGTTTATTGGCAGCCATTGGTTTTGATGAGTTTGTCGATGACTGTTGTGAGTAGTGAAATTAGTGGATTGATTAATAATCTGAATTCATTTATAAAAGAGGAGAGTTGTTCGTTTATATTACTTGAGGCAGAATGAGTGGGGGGAGGTGTATTTTTGATATGTGTGTGCTCATTGATTTTCGGAAGGGGGGGAAAGTCAGTCTGGCTTGGGTTTTGAAGATTGGAAGAAGTAAGTGGTTCTTGAAAATTTAAAGTATTTTTACGCCAGGGATTAGAAGGTTGGAGCTTTCGTGTTTTGATGATGCTTTTGTGGACAGAACAACCTTTATAATTTGCTGGGTGCGGGCCACCGCATAAGGCACATTTGGCAGGTTCGTTTCGATTTTTTAGACATAAAGAAGAGTCGTGTAGTTCACCGCAACGAACACATCTGGGACGGTGGCTACAATATGTACGTGTATGACCATAAGATTGGCAGCGGAGGCATTGTGGAATGTCTTTCTTGGCGTACGGTGCTTCAACTTTAATTTTAGTGTAGCAGAGCGAGGTTAATTTAAAGATTTCAGAGTTGGCTGAGTCAGGCTCTAAATCAATAAAAAATATTGGGAGAGGCAATTTGGATAGTCTGTGGCGAACATTATTTATATTTCTAGCTAGGAAACCTAGTGCTGAAAGTTCGGTTTTTATGAATGTAATATCTGTTGTTGGGTGGAGATTTTTAATAACAACTCTGAACGGTTTATCTTCTTTATTCTGGAAGGAGTGGTGTGGAACATCGTTTTCCTTAAGGTATTTTATAATGGCTCTGTATGAATCTGAGTTGAACGTTTGTAATTTCAGGCCTTTGGTAGAAGCTTTACCAAAATAAATAACTGAAACGCTCCGATTCAGGTTAAATTTTAATAAAATTGCAAAGACAATTTACTGAAATATTTTTCATTATTTGCAATGGAAAGGTTTTTGTTAGGTTACATACCTTTAAAGATAACCCTAAATTAAATTCTAAACTTGCAATAAAAATATGCTTCAGAATAATATTTATTCTAAAATATAAAATTTGACACAGTGCCGCGTCACTACATGATACACGGAGTTCCACGACCCACATCACCTTCATCAGCCGTCGCCATACTATGTGTATGTGGTAGTTTGACTATTACCGTGTGCATACTTTCATAACTCAAAACTTATTAAAATAAAAAAAAACACTAGCACAGTATAGTCCCGGCACAGCGGTGACATGGCATAGT